CACACACACACACCGGGCACAGTGCTGATCAAACAAACACGCGCCCTGCTCCATGATGTCATTTCTACAGCTCCTTGGAGGAGTGACCTTGGTTGACCTCAACCCATTTCTACATCATTTTACCAGCTGAAAGTTTGACAGAATAAACTGGAAATTTGTTCAGACGGGGGCTAAGATACACGTTCACCTGCTTCTGTCACGATTCTTCCCAGAACCAAGACAAAACATTGATAAAAAATGTAATTAACTAAGTTGATTCTTACCGCACCGTGACGTCACTGCCGGAAGATGTCAGGAGGGAGGTGTTAATATATTTGGGCAAAAATGGCCGCTCCCAGAATCAGTGATTGTGGCGAAAATTATTTATATTTTTTTACTGATTAACGCTAAATTCATTAAATCCCCGCAGACGTATTAGATTTAAGTATAAATAAGGATCCATTGAATATTCCTTGCTGACCGGACTTTCCCTTTAAAATAAGATCAATAGATATCATTTAAAGTAGAATCACCTTAAAAGAAACCTTTTGTTTTTACTCATCAATTAGAAAGACGTTCTCGATCTGAGATTGTAGGGCTGAACCAGTGAACTTTGACCTCAGGATGTTTAAGGTTTGACACAGAAACATAATTTCTGTTTTTACTTCTCCTCCTCTCCTCTAGCTGATATCTTATCGGTGGTATTTTAAGTCTGGATCTGCTTCCTTAAAAGGTCCTTCTTCTCCCCCAGGGGGAGGAGCCTGATGGAGTCCAAGCTGTTTTTAAACTGATTTCTGTCTGAGCTGATCTGGGTTTGATTTCCTGGGTTTATTCTGAGAAAGTCCACTCAGCCCAGCTCTGTCCTGACGTACGGTTCGTCACGTTTGGACCCTGAAACCTTCAGCATCTTCCCCTCATCCTCAGCTGGAGCAGAACAGCTGAATCTCCTTTGTGTTTCTTTTCGTTTTCTCTGCCTTCGTCTGGTTCCTCCTCCCATCGTTATCAACCCATCTGTCTCTCCCCACCCTGCTCTTTTCTTCAGAGCTGTGCTGTTGCCATAGAGACGTGTAATTCAGGACACCGTGTACGTCGCCTCATGTCTGAGCGTGAGCGTTTGAGACAAAGGAGAATAAGCCGAATATTACGATGAAACAGAAATGAGGGAAATTAAAAAAATACGCTCTACTTCTTAAGAGGCATGAGTGACCTTTGATGAAGGAGGAGAAGAAGGAGGCCAAGGTGAGGTTAGAGCACCGGTGTGTGGGTGTATCAGTGCAGCCCTGGCTGTTGCCTGGTGACGGCTGCCGAGCAAAGTCCCGACGCTCCTATTGGATGAGGATCTGGTGTGACTCAGCCGTTCCTCCGTCAAAAACAGCAGAGGTGTGGGAAAAAAAAATAAAATAAAATCTCCAGAAGGAAAAGGAAAGTTAAGATGGCCGAACGGCGTGTGGAGAACCCCCCGCCCAGCTCAAAGCGAAACCTTCAAAGGTTTGACTGAAGCAACCCCTGGCTCAGCCAGCATCAGAGGAGCAAACGTTTAAAGCTGGGATTAAACAGCATGAAATAACGAGGGAACAGAAATATTACATGTGAAATTCTATCTACTTTATAAGTCGCTTTTCATAAAAGCACATAAACATTTCAATGTTTGACTTCTGCTGAGTGAACCATGTAGGAGGAGCAGCAGATCCAAGCCCTCCTGGATGAACTTCAAGCCATCAGGTTATGATTAAACTAAACCCCATCGTTTTCTAAAGAAGAAACGTTTCAGGTCATTCCGGCCTCCAGCGATTAGAAACAACTTTTATTTTCTTTTAACGGAAAGTTTATTCTATGCCAATGAAAAAAATAAAAATAAAAAAAGATGCCACACTCTGTGGAGATATATATATGTATATATATATTTCTTTTTTAATGAATCATTATTATATAAAACGTTGCAGTTTTATACGGAAGCCAACTGCGTTCGTGTTCCTCCGATGCTTTTTCGCGAGGGTTTTCTCAAGAAAACGACTTAATTTTCTCATTCTCTAAAGGTAATGAAAGCAGTTTTCTCATGATAACATGATTGCTGTGTTTTAAAACTGATTACATCCTTTAAATACCACAACAGCGGGAGATGATTTATAAGTCATGGCAGCCTATGTGGTACGACACTGGTTTGATGATTTGCTTCCATTTCTGATTCATTAGCAATTAAACCTTTGCCTACGGCGCCGGGTGTTTTCTGACCCCAAACCCCAAAAAATGAGTCCAGATGAAAAATTTTCATTACAGTCAGATTTGTTTCTGCTGTATTCTATGCAATCCAATCATCCGCAACGACCTGACAATGAGTGAGAAGAAAAAAGGAAACAAAACAACTTATTTGCGCAGACGCTGACCGCGACTGCACAACTACGGACCCCACAGGCATGGATGGACTGGGAATCCAGCCTCATTCATTACTCATACAGGTTAATCGTCACGTTACTTCAAGAAATCAATAACTGTTTTCTCGTATCTCGAAAAAACAATTGTTTAACCGTGATGACGAGATTGTTATGTAATTATCTCGAGAAGGCAAAGGAAAAAAAAAAATATGAGTACCGCTCTCTGCTTCCTTAGCTTTGACCTTTAGATGTGAACTTTACATTTCAACGACACGACCTTAGTAAAAAGGTTGCATACCGGTGAAGATGGGACAGAGCTTCTCCCAGCAGGTGATGCCACCCTCAGAGGTGAACTGACCAAGGGCGACCTCCAGAAAGAAGACTGGCAGACCTCCACCAAACAGGAAGATGAAGTAGGGGATGAGAAACGCACCTGGAAAATGGAGAGAATGGAGAAGATGAATGAAGGACGAGGAGAGCGGTCTGATCAACGTTTTCTGATCCGCCTCAGAGGCTTACCTCCACCATTCTTATAGCAGAGGTAAGGGAAACGCCAAACGTTCCCTAAACCTACGAAGCCGCCGGCAACGGACAGAACAAAGTCCAACTTGCTGGCCCACTTCTCCCTCTGGGGGTGCTTGCCCTCGGCCTCGTCTTCGGGCCGAGTGCCGGGGCTCTTACCGGGGGACGGCTTCAGGGTGTCCTTATGGAAGTCTTTCAGACACTGAAGCTTCTCTTTTTGTGCCATTCTGTGGAGAGAAAACACAGAAAATCAGGAATGGAGTAAAAGTAAAAGAAAAAAAAAAAAGGGCAGAGTAACTATAACTCAATAAATCAACGTCACATGATGTGACTAAGCTCCACGAGACGCCAGATTCAATTCAATTCAGTTTATTTCTACAGCACCAATTTAAAACACGTCATCTCAAGGAACTTTCCAGTTCACCAGATCATCCAGTCACATTGATTCAAAGCTTTCTATCTAAGGAAAACCAGCTGATTGCATCGACTCATTGACTC